GAAGAAGGGAGCGAGGCAGGGCTGACGTGAAGGGATGCAAAAGAGCTCCTCCTAAGCCAGTTCGCAGAGGAAGAGAGACAGAAAAGCAGCCCTTTTATCTCTCTTTTGTTTTCTCACTTCCTTCCACCCCCAGCACCCCCGCCTGTCAGCCCAAGTTTTCTCTTTCCACCGCAGCGAGGATTTTTTCTGCCTTTTCTTTCTCTCCCTTTCGGCTCAACTCTGCCACTCGAACCGAAAGCCTGCAGGGCTCGCTCGCTCTCTCAGCCCCCTTCCCCTCTTTTCTTCCTCCTTCCTCCTTTCTTATTTCTCTAAAAGGGTTTTGTTTGCTGTGGGAGTTTCGTTTGAAAATCAAGTCACGCCTTTTTTCCTTCTTTTCTTTCTTTCTCTTTCTGTTTTTTTTTTTCCTTCTCTCAGCAGAAAAGGGGAACAAAGATTAACTGAAGCGGGGGAGAGAGAGCGAGCGTCGGAAGCTTGCCTGGAAGCTGGGGGCCCTGCACAAAGGGGGCCGGGGCCCCGCCCCCCTGGAGGCCCTGGGGCGCCCTCCCCGGAGGCCCGTCCGGGGCTGGGGCGTGGGTGCCGGCCTCCTTGGCGAGCGCGGGCTGGGGGGCGCCGCGGCCGCCCCCTCCCAGAGGTGCGTTGTTGACTTAGAGGTTTTTGAAAGTAGGCAGATGGGCTTGCAAACAAACGTCCCCGCAGAGCCTCGAGCGGCCAGCCTGCAACAGCTGTCGGCCGGGCCCTGGACGGCCAGACTCGAGGGAGCGGCGCGGGCCCGGGCGCGGTCGGGGCCCCTCGCCGGCTCCCCGGGCCCAGAGGCTGGGCCCGGGCGCGCGGGCGCACCGCTGGGGGGGCGCCGAGGCGTGGCCGCGGCCTCGCCTCCTCCCGGCTCCCGGGGCAGCCCGGGCACCCGCCGCTCCGAGCCGCTGCTGGCCTCGGCCGTGGGGCGGGCCGGCGCGCAGAGCCGCCCACGGAAGGGTCAATTATTCATGGGGCGCCTGGGCGTGCTCCCAAGACCTGCTCTGTCCTCGGCTTCTCTGGAGGAGTGGAGCGAAGACTGGGTGGTAGAGGGGAGGGAAGGGGGAGGGGGGGACGAAAAAGTTCCCAGAGCAAAGTTGGTCGCATTTCTCGTTTTTTCCCAAGTCAGCATTGAGCACCTGCTGGATGCCTGGCCCTCGCACTGGCGCTGCAGCCAGGGAAGAAAACGTGGGGCTTTGGGTGGCCCCCGAGAGTTTCCGCAGGAAACAATGGGGGGAGGGGGTTGCAGCAGCGCAGGACCGGGTCACGGAGGAGAAGGAACGCCTGGATCCCCTCCCCGCCCTGTCTTCCTTCCCCTTCCTCCCTTCCTTCCTCCCTCCCTCCCTCCCGGCTGCATCTCCCGGCTCCGCCCCTTCTCTTCATCAATTCCTCCCACACTTCCCTGCTCTCCCTGGCTGTTCGCTGGAGGGTCCCTTCTCCCAGCGAGAAGCAGATGCCGAGCCCCATTGTCTGTCCCCCAGTGGCTGCAGCCTTCTGGGGACGGGACCTGCCTGTCCTCACCCCTCCCCCAGCGCGGAGCCCCAAGGCCTCGGCCCCCCACCCCACCCTCCACCAGCTCCCTGTGCTGTGAGCCATGATGACTCCAGTCACTCAGAACATGATTTGTTTCTGGCTGGAGGTAAGAGAGCAGTAGGCTGACAGTTGGTTCAGAAGGAGGCACACCGTGGCACGAAGCCCCCAGTGGAAGCCCCTGGTTGCTCAACACACTTGAGCTGTGATCTCCAGCAAGGAAAAATGCAGCATCAAGTATTCATTCAGCACATACTGGCTACCTACTCGGCGCCGGCTAAGGATCCAGCCGTCATCACAGCACGGCCTTTGCGAGATGAGCCAGGCCACCATGGTGCTGCGTGCCCAGGGTGGAGGGTGCTTTGCATTTCAAGTGTTCAAGGGTGACTCCCTGGAGGAGCAGGCCGGTGCCAGCCCAGGGCATGGGAGGGAACAGCCTGTCCAAGGGCCCCAGGCCAAGAAAACACATTCCCAGAGGTTCTTGGAAGTGTCTGTCAAGAGTTCAAGTGCTTGCAAGTGGAGAGTGAGGGTGGCGGCGGGGCCAAGGTGAGCGGGGTCAGGTGTGAGGTTCCGTGTCCAAGCACCAGTTCGTGGGAGGTTTTAGTGGCTGTGCCCGTCTGTGAGGGAGTGACAGGGAGGTGCCCCTGTAACCTGAAAATGAGATGATGGGTTGAAACCAAGAGTGACTCACCCAGAAACCCAGTGAGCTGGTGCCTGCGTCCCAGGGAGTGGATGGCCTGGGGAACACCCATGTCTGGTCCTCATGGCTGGGGTGTCCTCTCACCAGCACGGCCGGACATAGCAGCTGTGGCTGAAGAAGATACCCATCAGAGGAGGGTGGCCCTTGGGAGCGGGCTCAGGGGAGACCAGAGGCCCAGAAGTCCACACAGGGCAGTGCCGGTGGGGGGGTGTCACACGCTCCTCCACGGCTCCATGGGCATCAGCAGCGTGCCTCCGGATCCAGGCAAATGCCAGTGTTCCCATCCCTGCCTTGTAAACAATTCACACCACTATTATGTTTATTTAAGATTTATTTAGGGGAAAGCGCTGTGGCGCAGCAGGTTAACGCCCTGGCCTGAAACCGCGGCATCCCATATGGGCACTGGTTCGAGACCCAGCTGCTCCACCTCCGATCCAGCTCTCTGTTGTGGCCTGGGAAAGCAGTAGAAGATGGCCCAATTCTGTGGGCCCCTGCACCTGGGTCTCCCATGCAGGTGAGACCCATCTCCTGGCTTCGGATCGGCACAGCTCCGACCATTGCAGCCAATTGTGGAGTGAACCATTGACGGAAGACACTCACTCTCTCTCTCTCTCTCTCTCTCTCTCCTCTCTCTGTGTAACTCTTACTTTCAAGTAAATAAATAAATCTTAAAAAAAAAAAAAGAGAGAGAGAGAGATTTATGTATTTGAGTGGCAGAATTACAGAGAGAGAGAGGTCTTCCATTCACTGATTCACTCCCCAGATAGCCACAATGGCTGGAGCTATGCCAATCCAAAGCTAGGAGCCAGAAGCTTCCTCTGGGTCTCCCACAAGGGTACAGGGCCCCAAAGTTTTGGGCCATCTTTTACTGCTTTCCCAGGCCACAGCGGAGAGCTGGATCAGAAGTGGACCAGCCAAGACTTGAACTGGTGCCCACATGGGATTCTGGCACTGCAGCCGGCAGCTTTACCCGCTATACCACAGTGCTAGCCCCTATTATTTTTTCTATTATGTTACCGGAGAAATTGCAGGGTTCTTGGCTTCACACAAGAAAGAATTCAGGCATGAGACAGAGTAGCGGGAGGTAAAAGTAGCAAAGTTTATTAAGGAAGGGACATCCGTAAGGGCGGATGGGCACCTCTCTAGACAGGACCTGAGAGAGAGTGCCATCGCTCGGAAGGGGGGGGGGGACAAGGTTACAGGCGGGCGGCTCAGCAGAGAGTCAGAGGGCTGATCGCACAGTCCGGTTGAGGCCTGAGGTTTTTAAGGAGCTGGGTCTTGCTTCCCCACCTCTGCTCCTCTTGGAACAAAGGGCTTTTTGGATGTCAATAGAAAAACTTCTCTCTTGAAGGTCTGAAACAAAAGACTTTATGGATGCAAATGTTATCAGACTGGAGGAAAGGAGCAGGGTGTTTGAGATGCAGATATTGGGATTCGTCAGGCAGAAGGGGTGGGGACCCCTACCTGGCAGGTGATCAGGTGGCAGGGGGCAGGGCAGGGCAGGATGTGAATACCGGGCTGCCCCTGAAACACCATCTGGATGGCCTTGAGATGCAGCATATGCTGGACATAGATGTCTTCTCTTTAGGCCTTTATGTCACACACACATAAGCTCATAACTGACTTCCTAACTAACAATTATACTGCTTTTTGCTAAAGAATTTGAAAATCAACCAAGCAAACCTGAAAAAGAACCCCACTCAAGTGCCTCTATGTTTTGGTGTATGATCTTGGATGTTTTATAGCCTCTACATCTGTGTGCACAAAACAATGCAAATAAATATTGTTGAGCAACTGACTTTACATGTAGATATGTTATATGTTCAAAATTAAAAATTAACAAAAATAGTATAACACCATAGCCACCCAGTTGCAACCACTTTCCCCCAATAATATGTCCAAAACATCTTTTCCTATATATAAATATCCCCATTTTCTTTTTTTTTTTTTTTTGAAAAGTGGAGGGACAGAGACCTTGCATTCACCGGTTCACTGCCCAGATGGTCGCAACAGCTGGGGCTGGGGCTGGGCCAGGCCAAAGCCAGGAGTCTGGAACACTATGCTGCCTCCTACACGGGCAGCGGGGACTTGGGCCATCCTCTGCTGCTTTCCCAGGTTCCTTAGCAGGGAGCTGGATCAGAAGCTGAGCAGCTGGGACTGAACTGGGGCTCCCAAGGGACGTCGGCGTCACAAGTAGAAGTTTAACCCATTGTGTCACGGGGCAGCCACCCCGACTTCATTCTAAATGGATGTTATTCCGCAGCACGTGTGTTTAAATGGTTGGCATTTGTGGGTTTTTTTTTGTTTGTTTGTT